CCCCGGGCATCCAAAACCTTCCATTTCAGGTAGCTGCCACAGAATGCATCCACAGCTGCCCTTCCTTGTGGAAGTTTTGTGGCTGCACCATCGAAACTCAGGACTACTCCAGAGTACTCTTCCGAGAGCACACGACTGGAGGCGGTTTGACGTGCCCCATGGCTGGAATGAGTGCTTCGGCGACTTTATTCAAGTGCTCCCTGGAAGTGATACTTGCACCCATAATGGCGGCTAAGTCATCCTCATCTCGACTGACCTTCCAAATTTCCAAGTCATATTGTGAGAGAGCGACGCCCCAAGGCACCAGACGGCCTTCGGCGGTCTTGGAATTGATGACCCACTTCAACACTGAATGTCGAGTGTAGATTATTAGCGAACATCCTTCGATCAGGTTCTTGAACACATGGAGAACTCGCATTACAGCAAGGACTTCCTTCTCCTCAATATGGTACTTGATCTCGACGTCACTCAGGACACGCCCCGTGAAACGAACGGGTTGAACAAGTCCATCATGTATCTGTCCTAGAACTGCGCAAGCAGCCCACTGATTCGCATGAGGGATGATCACAAAAGGTTTCGTTCGGTCTGGATGTCTGAGCAGGGGAGTGGATACGATCTTCCTCTTCAGGATCTCAAAGAATTCCTTCGCTCGAGACAAGTCTCGTCCTGCGCGCACTTGATCATCATCTGTCAACTCATGAGTGAGGCACCTACCACGGCATAATCCTCAAAGAATTTGTTGTAGTAATTCAGGCTGCCTAGAAATGACTGGTCTCCTTTCAGGGTAGACGGAAATCCTGAATGCCTTTTATGATCTTCGGGGTGGCACGTATCCCTTCAGCACCAATCTCATGAGAGAGGTATGGTATGGCATGCTTTCCGAACTCGCTCTTAGGCAAGCTAACTGAGATACCCCAGTACCGTAACCGATAGAGCAACGCATCTAGATCACCACATAATGGATCCCACGTGGCCGCCCCATGCGCGATGTCATCAATATACGAACTGCGCCCCAAGACTGGCCCCATTTGGGATGGTGCGGGAATGTTCCGCCTGAAAACCGTCATTTGGTCCACGAGTGGTGTCATATTGCGTCCTGTAACCATTTCATCACTCGGTGACTGCGGATCCAACTTCAGGTAGTCTAACACATCCTGATCCACGAGTGCTTC